ATCTTGGAAGCTTGTGAGGAGGAGCCGGAGATTTGGCTGCGCTTTATTTTCGCGTCTGGTTCTGGCGTCAGGTGCTTGTCTTATATCTGCGTTTTTTCCCGGGGAGTGAAAAGGAGAATATTGAAATGTTTGTCTGGGTTGTGTGCGTGGGTTATTTTGGGGTTTTAATCATGATGGAATGCCAGGAATTTTGCGAATATGACATACCCCGACAGTCAGAGGTCAGTATCAACGGGGCAAGAAGATCCACTTTCAGACTTTATTCGTGATGTTCATGTATAGAAAGCTTATCTGTGTATTTCCCCCCGATTATTTCGCATTACGTGAATTAGTTATGATTTAAATGTTGCATCACGCATAGTACTTTATGCTTCATAAACGCTTACGGAATGTTTACATTCGCGCATCTCGGAAAAAAAATGCGTGTAAATAAATACAAAAAACGACACTGAACATCAAACATCAATCATGCATAATAAAAAAAAGACTCATTACGGACGAGAAAACAACAATAACGAAGTAAACGAGAAAAGGAGAGCGAGGGAAGAAGCAAACCAATAGAGAAAAGGGAGGGAGGAGGGGGAGCGAGAGGAATGCCCAGTTCACATGTCATCCTCGGCCGGCCAGGGACATCGCCGCCGGGCATCTGTGTCCTTCCCTGCCTTATTTTATTTGTCCATTTTTTTTTTTTTTTGCCATACTTGTTATATATATATATATATATATATATATATATATATATATATATATATATATATTGTTGGTCTTTCGTTTCGCTTTGTATTTTTTATTTATTCTTATATTGATATATATATTTTTTTCCCCCCCCGAACTGTGTCATTTTTTTTTTCAATCTTGTCTTTGTTTCAAAATTGTTTTTGTTCTACTCTTTATGTAATTTGTGTTATAATTATAATGATAGTAAGCTTAATGAGAATGATGGGTTGATGAGACTTGTAATGTTAATAATAATGATAGCATCAGTAATTATAATAATAACAATAATGGTAATATAATTAATAACTATCATTAATTATGAAAACAGCAATGATTGTGTGAATAAAATGACTAATAGTAATAACAGTAGTATAATGACAATAACAACACTCATTACCATAATTATGATAATAGGAATGATTATAATAAAAAAACATTAATTTTGATAAACAACAATAATTCAAAAAAAATTATTGATAATAAAATAACGATGGCAATAATATTAAGTAATAATAATTATGACAATAATAATTATAAGAATGACAGGGCTGACGATTACAATAATGAGAGCAATAGTAATATGCGAAATGGTACTGACAGCAATATTATTACTATGATAACAATGATACTAATAAATTGTATTCAATTTATGATCTCAAAATGCTGTCAATATTTCCCCATTATTTGTTAACAGTTTAATATTGCTGTTAATGCCATGTTTCCTCTCTGTCTCCACAAGAGCAAAATCCACTTATTTTCCTTATTTGCATGTTACTTTGTACAAAATAAGCAGTATACTCTTTGATTACGGCGACGTGTGATTATGTATTACTCTTTGATTAAGGCGATGTGTGATTATTAGTTTAATATATTGACTGCATTCATTTCCATAATCCTCGACCAGCTACTAATATCATGACGATTTTCATTATTTGTGTATGATTTTATTATTTTCCAAACACTGAGTATAGTGGATTTTCTACATTATATATGTAAAATATATATACAAAAAAACATACTGAATAACTTAAAACCTTGCAAGAAGTGAGGATTTTTTCCTCTTTCCATATTTATTTCATTTACATTTATATAAACATCTTAATAAAGTTGTTGGGATATTCTTTGCTTTGTGGTGCCAAAATTCTGCCATTATCTGTTTCACAAATTACAAATGTAAAGAAAAACTACAGTGCATGTATGAAAATTTTATTGAATTTTACTTACACTAGTTTAGCTATCAAGCTACAACATATTGCATGGTGTCAATGCATAGCCCTGACAACATAGCTTTCAGCATCATTCATTTAGGGTAGACATTTGTATAGTCTGTATCTCCTGCTTGTTGGATATGTGATTCTGTTGTTGGATAACTTAAAAATGGTACAGACTGAATATCATGTAGTACGACAAACCTTAACATACAAATAATGCATATATTTGTGCATTTCCAGAAAGCATTTAAGTCACTAGGCAGAAGATGAAAAAAAAAAAAAAAATTGAATAGTAACTCCACGTTTGCTTGAATATTTGCATTGGGAAATACACAGCTCAATGCTTGAGTGTAATTCATCATTAAATCTACCTGTTAGATCCCAACAAATCTAACTTTGTTCAGGATACAAAATTGTTCAAATGACAACCTCAAATATAGTTACAAAAATTTCTGAAGGAACTTGTTTGTGCCAAACCAAAAATGGCGGTTCAGTACCCTGACTCATCCTGATGTTATTGTCTATCTATAAAGGCTAAATATGTGTACCACAATTCAAACCATCTTTGATATGATTCCATAATGCTCTTCGCTGAGGTCAGACAAGTGGCATAAGCAGACCTAAAATACACAAAGTTACAACCTGGTTGCTCGTTTCCAGTTATAGGAAAAAAAAGGGAGAGAGAAACGATGACAACACAAAGAAAAGATAAAATATACACAATGAAAGTATAAAAATTAAATTAGTTAAATCTAGAAAAATAGCTGTCCTAAACCTAGTACAAAATAAACCTGTGTACGAAATCTCAAAACAGGAGACTACGCAAAGCTTAAGAGCCGCACTAAGGAGCTCCTCAAGAGGTTGCCGCTTCCTGAGGGAACTGAGGGAGATTCTTGCGCTGCTCAATCAAAATACCAAATCTGAACCTGCAAAAATGACGCGGACAAAAGTCCATGTGTGCTATGCATTTACTGCAAATTTGCCTTTGTTTAAAAAGAAAACGAGAAAAGGAGAAAAAAGGAAAAAAGATCATAAAAGCATCACTAAACAGTACCGATAAAAGAATCAAAGCAAGACCGACTGAGCAGCGTATGACTCACATTATCTTAAGTGTATCGCATAGACAGAGAAATTACAACACTAACTGCAATCTTCGGGCTGCCGCATGTTGGCTGAGGTAGAATAATGGCAAGCAATGCAGGAGAAAGATGTGGATGTTGTCAATATAAATTTAAAATATCTGAGTACCAGGAAATCTACTCTGAATCTCCTCTTTCTCTGTTTATACACCCACGTTCTTACACCCTTTTTTCATTCCTCTACGTATTTCTAAAATATATCTTACAAGGAGGGTAGGTGAGATGGGAGTATGGGGTGTCGTTACAATAAACAAAAACTGATTTCTAGTAATATCTAAAATAGACCTGCTTCTCTTTTATGGCCACTAAAAAGAAAGTAAGCTGAGGGTATATGTAAAAGAAATGACTCACTCGATGCAGGACGTGTGTCCCCTTCCTCAACAACCAGCCTTTGAGACTCGGCTAAATCAACAAAGAGCCTGCCTGCATGTCATATCTGCTATATATATATATATATCTATATATATAAGCTCACAAGTTACACCGTGCAAGAGAGAACCCCTAGAACCCCATATGCTACAAAGGACTATTGCTACAGACTAAGGGGATGGTCACTAATGCGAGTGGTGTGACTGTCCGATCTCCGTGGGTTCTTTCTTGCATGGACTAGGGGTGGGAAGAAAAAAAACAACAAATAAATGAAAAAAAAGGGATAATCATATGCTACTTATATATATATACATATATATAAAAGAGGAGGAACATGTGACAGACACAGCATAATAAACGTCCTATCCTCTACAACTTATCTTGTAATATGGCCTTTTTTATTATCATCCTTATGAGAAAAAAAATAAAAAAATAAAAAAATAAAAAAATAAAAATTAACACAAAATAGTACCCTTGACATATATGTAGAGAGAGAAAACAAACAAACAAACAAAAAAACTGACATAGCTGCATCAAAAAAATCTGCAAAAAGAGACACATCTGCAAAACATAACAGATCTGTCAAAAGGTCAAAATGCCTTACCAAGCAAGGATGGACTCATTATCACTTATCAATAAACAAAGAGAATCTGTAATACTCAAAGGAATACAGTTAGCTAAGGGGTGGCCAGAAAAAGACTAAAAAATAAAGAGAAGGAAAGAAAGAAAAGAAAAGAAAAAATCTATCGTGTTAATATCTACCTGTGATATCTACACCTCCCCTTCATTTTCCTAACTCGGACAGGTACTGACAGCAAGACGAACATTTCTCTATGGGAACTAAGTTAACACACACCCTGAAGTTAAGTCTGCATGATTAACAATGAGAGAGAAAGATATACAATATTTACCATGCATAATACTATTGGAAGCTGCTTGACATATCTATTCGGCATACCTTGTCCATAGATTATGTTCAAGCCATGTTCAGAGGAACCAATCAGAACACAAAAACAAAATTGAAAAAAAAAAGAAGAAAGAAAAGAAAAGAAAAAAAGAAAACAATCACTCAACGAGACCCTGACTTCCGTGCTAAATTACGTAAAGAGTAAACCAAAGTAGTAGGTAATGCAGCATCAACTGGGATATTGCACTTCCCACTGAGGACAGATATTTGCATGGACATTCGGCTATGCTCATGAACAGTGAATTATCTGCTCTGGCCAAAAAGACATACACTCACACACACAAAAATAAAGAAACAAAATAAAAAGAAGAAAAAGAAGAAAAATGAGGAAGAAATATAATGATTGATCTTGATGTGAAACTGACAACGACCAATCTATTTTTTTTTTCTATTTTCCTATTTACTAACATCTAGTAGTTTTTTTTTTCATTCATGAACAACACCTTAAAGAGACGGGTCAAAATTCTGAAACAGTACTTGATATTTCACACAAAAAAAGTAGACACTATATGTATAATAAAAAAAATAATGCAAAAATTAAAAACAAAATCTACATTATCTGCCCACTGATTAAAAAACAAAATAAAAAAAAGAAAC